GAAGGCTGACGTTTCGGGCCCGAAACGTCAGCCTTCCTGCTCCTCTGATGCTGCTTGGCCTGCTGTGTTCATCCAGCTCTACGCCTTGTAATCTAAGAAACAGGAACCAGTGTTGCTTTCCTTTCCAAACAGAAGCTCGACCCAATGGGTCACATCACAGGACTCAGGTTCTACACCACTGGTCTCTGCCAAGTTCTGGTTCGGATCAGCTTTGCTGCTGGGAACGTGAGAGCCTGCGCTGACTGGCAGAGGGGGAGCTGTCTGCCAAGTCCCTTCAGTCACCGAGGCTACAGAATGCTGATTCGAGCCACATCAACAGGCACCTCCACCCCCCCCACAGCACTCACTCAATGCCACATTACCACTTGGGACAGTAATGAACTGCCCTGATACGCCTTTGTTTCCACGGTTCACTACAGAGTTTTCAGGTCTAATGGGGTCAGATGAAACAAGGAGTGCTGGTCAACTTAAACAGCTCTCACTTGTCTCAATGGTGCCCTTAAAACAGGGCACAACAAAAGGGCGATCAAGACTTTTACCAACAGATTTGGGCCATATGGATTTAACATCTTAAAATAAATTTGATGGTTTTGCAACTCATATGATCTATTTTTCATAATTGCTTGTCCAGACAACAATCTTTGCAAAAGCAACTGATTACGGTCTTGCTGAATAGTGATACAAGCATTAGGGACAAAATCTAAATCTAAAAAGGCAAAACAGAATAAACATAATAGAAAAAAGCAATATCCTATCTCAAAAAGGCAAGATATCCGAAATCTGAGAAGAATGCTCAATCCTAAAGGAATGGTTTAATAAGAGGGATGCGATTTGTCACACGTATGCACCTGGACATGCTTTCAATTGATCATAAATTGACCAGACTTGGTGGGGGGGGCGGAAAATGGCCAGAATCTGAAAAAGTCTTCAGGATTCACACTGTCATAGTTAGTCAGAACATTGATTAGAATATCAGCAACTGAAGGTGTATTTAACCACAGAAAGATGTGGAAGCAAATGTAATACTTCCAAGCTAAGGTTAAATTACAGGTTCCAATGGACAGATCCTGGAGAGATTTGGAGGAGTCATGCGTACCCTGTTTGCAACACAGGTGCCAAATTTAATAAAACAGACAAAACCTGTTAGACAGACACAGCAGGCAAGTGTAGTCCTGCACCCAAATATTAACACCACTTCATAAAATCAGCAAATGGGGCTGGCTGAAGGGCACACATCAGTTCAGTCACTACAATCTGCACTTTGCATTTTTCTAATCATTGTGCGTAAAGATGTACGGTTATAGTTCATAACTAATGGATGACAAATGAAAAAGGAATACAATCCACAGATATAGGGCCACGTGGCAAACTAGGTAACACGTTTAAAAACGATTAACAATAATTTTAAAACCTTATGTTAGTCCATGTCAAAAACAGTATCTGAAAGGCACATTTTAAAATGGGGAGAAAAATGCACATGATATCTTAATCCGCAACTCTCAGAGGAACATCTGAAGTCTGACAGTTGGATTCCGATTTGAAAAATCTTGGCAGATGGAAAAAATGATGTGCATGAGTCAGGATCCATTCATTGTGACAATGACTGTTAAACAGAACTGGGTAATGCCGACCCTGCAGCAACGCTATTTCGAGCGAAGTCCTTAAACTAGTCTCTGCTGCGTCCCAACACCCGGCAACCTTGCACTGTGCCCCTTACATCACATAAAACATGAACTGCAATTGTTTAAAACCACTGCAGCTAAACCACACAGAGCAACAGGGTATGTACAGTATTAGCCGTAATAAGCTGGATGACTGGGACCTTAAAAAATTTAGGACCCACCTATGCAGGGTTAGGTGCATCATTCCCAAGAAACAGAACTCCATAGCATCAGACGGAGGTGAGGAATGTACAGACTCAGTAAGCTCCACTCCAACCCAAATAAGCACTACAACGATTGTTTTAAAAGTTAGAGTCAAAAGTCTTAAGTGAACCTCTGATCTTAGGCCACTAGTGTTCAGTAACTAATATGTTGATGCTAAAGAAAAACATTAAAAGCATCCAAAACAAAAGGATTGACACACCTGAAGTCTCAAGTTGAGTGGCCTTAATTATCCCAAAATTGAAACAGTTTCTATGGAGGACAACACTGCCCATTCTAACCAAGATAAAATCCACCAGTGTTTGATCAGAGTGCAACTCAATTTTACCCAAAGTTAATATTAAAATACCACAAAGTATGTTTTACAGGCTCAGGGGCCCCAGTTATCCTTCAGTGGGGTCAGATTTTAGACGAAGGACGCTTTTCACCAAACGTTAAATTATGCCTAAAAGGCACTGAGAGGAAGAAGGGCTGAGTTGTTTCGTTTAGGTTAGATCCCTTTGCACTTCATTGAATTCTAAGAAACTGTACAGCTTGTTGACAGAATGCTTGAAAAACACTGAATGAAGGGTTATCTGATAATACAGTAGGTCTGATTCTAATCAAGTGCAGAAAACACTGAAAGACCAAACATTCAGACAGATCAAAAGACGGAGGGCGAAAGAAACGAAACGGGCGGGGAAAGCGAAAAAAAAAAAGGGTTTGGGCGAGACTCACACGAAACTGAGCGACAATCTTGACAATGAGTCAGTCCAGGGCTAAGGGGCTGACTGACTAAAACGATTTTACACGAAACAAAACTCCAATATTTTTTGAAAAGAAAAGAAACCGAAAGAGGCTCAAAGCTTTCTGGAAAAGAAGAGACAGGGCGTTATTTTTTTGTTGGGGGGGGGGGGTAGGAAAGGAGACGTCTTTTTTTTAAAAAGTCAGGGTCTTGGCTGCTTTTTTTTTCCCCAGTGGCCTCGAACTTGGCCAAGAGACGGGGTTGGCGACGATTTGGGGGGGGGGGGCTGGTGGTGAACCACAGAGTAAGATTCCAAAAGCCGTCCCCATCGAAAACAAAAAAGAAAAAAAACTGAGGGAAACAAGAGAGACGCACAAATAAAAGTCAAACAACTAGAGGCAGAAAAGACAACTTCATTTTTTTGAGGAAAAAAAATGAACACGCACGCACAAACTCTGACAGGAACGAAAACTCCAGGCAGTCTGAGGGCTCGAGAGACGCCGTCTTAATTAACAACACAGCCAGGCAGACAACTCACACTCCCCACCCCCTCATCAACTCCATCTCTTAAAGGGCGAGGGGGGGGGGTGAGACAATCTCTTCCTTAGTACAAAAGCCAGCATCTACTGGCTTTAGTTTTAAATGACCAACAACATTACGAAAATCGAAGGGAACAGTATTTTAATAAAAAGACTGTTTCGACTACTTACTGATCTCCATACTGTGGAACAAAGAGCGTTTGCAGTTGCATGTGCAGGAGACATTGGGCTGATTCGTTGCGGCTGTGCTGTTCAGACCCATCAAGTTGTACATTTAATATTTGAAGAGGGAAGGGGAAATAAATTAAAAAAAAATTTGGAAACGGGGTTAAATAAAGGCAGCCAGGCGCCCCCCGGGGTTGGGAGAGGAGCCTTCGCTGACTTGAGTGTTGCTGGCTGGTTCCTGGGTGAGGGCAGGGAGCTGGGTATCTGTCTCTCAGTTGTGAGAAACCATAATCAGGGGAGTGTTAGCCCGACCGGTCCCCGTGGTTCTGTCTGTCTGTCTCTCTCTCTGTCTGTCTGTCTCTCACTGCTCTGCCAGCTCCGGAATCACCAAGTGCTACTTTGTATCTGCTTCACACTCGATACACTCACACAATCAAGTAGCGCAGCCCCTCACGCCGCAACCAAACCTCCGCCACTGTCAATCACCCATCCCCGGTCCCGCCCCCCCACCGGCCGCCTGATCGACCACCTGCCCCACCAATCGTCACTCGGAATTCCCAAATCCCCGTCCCCCTGGCTCTTCGCGGCCAATGGAGCTGGTGGAAGCACCGTCCGGGGCGGGACTTCTGGCATGCGGGTGCTCCTCCATGACGTCACCGAAGCAGACGGGTGGCCCGCTTCTCCCTCGCCGGTCCGCCTTCCGTGATTGGCAGGTGGACGCCAGCCAATCGACATATCACTTCTCCGTACTGGCGCGTCTTCGCGCTGCTATTGGATGCGCCCTGGGGAATGGAACCAATAGTGAGTCCGTTTGTAGGCGGTGCTAATGACGATGACATCATGGCTGGGCGAGTTGTGGACCGTAAATGGCACGCAAACTATTATTGACGTAGAAACTGTCCAATAGAAACACAGTGTGGGTTAACACACATTTCCATTGGATAGTAGTGTAACAGAGGGCTGGCACAGCTGGGAACGCACACGTGGGTCAGGCAAGGCTCTGTTTGTTTGAAGTGAGAGCAGGAAGTGGGAGGAGGAAGAGAAAAAAAGACCTTGAAAAGTTTACCCAAAGTCTGTCAAATATATTTCATGCTGAAAAAATGTGGGTTACAAATACTGCGCGGCATTTTATACCCCCTTTGACTAATCAATCAAGGAAAGGAAGCAGTGATAAAACAAGCTGGAAATAAATCAGTGCAAAGGGAGATACTGTGGATGTGGGATACCTGAAATAATTTAATAACACAAAATGTTGGAAATACTCAGCAGGTCCGGCAGCCTCTGTGCAGGGATTTAGCTCTGGTTATTCGTCAACCATGTTCTGACGATGCTCAGAAGAGTTTTCTGTTTTGTGTTTCACATAAAAATTAATCGGGCTCAATACAATCTTGAAAATGCGGTCATTTTCCTAACAATTAAAGTCTTGGCAAAATCTGAAGTGTTTGCCGATGCCCAAAGAAGCAAACAGGCGTCGCAACGATTGCCACCTTTGTGTCTTGGTGAAACGAGCCATTTGTTTTTAATGAAAGGGAGAAAGCACTTAACTTTCTAAAGTTGTCAAGAGGGAGAGAGATTTTCAAACAGCTTAAACTGGTCAATAGAGGGGCTAACGTTGCTGAGAATTCAATACGGATTTGCAAGGCTGGGGGAGGGGAGGGGAACCAAAGCAAAAGGGAAACAGGATGCAGTAACCTTGATTACATTTTTTTTCCCTTTGCCCTTGGTATACACACATCCCTCATTCCTCGCAAGGAATCCAAACAAAAAGGGAGACTGCGGTTGGGGGAGGGGGTGTCTGTGTATTCAGACAGACTTTACAAGGCAATCTGCTCTTGTAAAGCCTAACCTCACTTTGACCCGAAGTGATATAACCCTCTCCATCCCTGGCCCCGTCAGAAATCGCCCACTTCTTTCAGCCTCGTCCCACCAAATGCGATGTTTTGGAGATGGAATTTGCGAATGTTATCGCGGCAAGTATAAAGATTAATTAATGCAAGTGGCGAAAAGAGTATGCAAATAGCAAAGCACGTTGCGAAGTTTCCAGCCTGCAGCAACCACCACCTCCCCTCCCACCCAACTCCCCGCAGACATCCAAGAGTCTCATTATTCCTCAAGCTGCATGCAAATCCCATTATATAAACGCGATTTATCGGGCGTCAGATCCTCTCACAGCTCCCAGGGAAAGTGTGGTGCGAGCGATCTGGAATTGATGCTGGATGCGTTTAAAATCTTACCCTCCCCTCTCTTTGTAGGCGATTTTCCCCAGGCGGAGAGGCTGTAGGAGGGAGGGGGGAGAGTGGAGTGCAGCGTTATGCCCTGTTCTTTGTGCCTGGCTGGTCACGGTTTGTCCGCCAACCAGCTGAAGGAAGCCTGTGGCTTTTCTCAGCGATTGTTGTCTGTATTTGCACTTGGACTTAATGCCGTGTGTGTGTGTCTGCTACTGGGAGTGGATTAGAAAACAACACACAAAAGACAGACGCCAACCCTCCCTTTCCAAGAACGCACTTCCCCTAAAAATGAACCGAAAAGCGAGGTCGGCTCAGCCCGTTCCTTTGGCACCTGATCTGTCCCAGACAGACAGACACATTCGCCGCTTTTGTTGCAGGTGTCCATGTATTTTACGATTCGCCACCACCAATGCCTCTTTAAAAGCCCAGACTCGAGGCTTCCCTGAAAATACACTGTTAGAAAAGTATTCTTTCTCGAAAGATGTGCAATGGCTCTGGGGTAGAACTTTTTTCCTTTACACAACGAGTGGTAATGACCTGGAACCCTCGCCCAGGAGAGTGGCGGAGGCCGAGAAAATGATTGATTTCGGAGGAAATTGAATGGGGCAACTTGAAGGAAGTAAAGTTGTAGGGCTACACGGATAGAACGGGGAAGTGAGACGGAGAGAGCTCGTAGGGACTCGATGGGCTGAATGGTTGTCTTCTGTGCCGCAGTGATTGTATATGACAACGGGAAACCATTCATTTTTACCACCACCTTCATGCCCTTTAGTAAAACCTGAATTCACTGACACGGTCAAATGATTGCCTCCACTTTTTTGCTTTTTGGACAGGCGTATTTGGTTACTCTCTTGTCCTTGGAATCAGTATATCGAGGCTGTAGTGAATCGTAGAAATGCATAGCCTCACCTGCCACTCAGTCGTATTTCCAATGATTTTATGATTTCTACTTATTGAAACACTCACCTGAGGGAATAGTTCTTGTCATCATTTTGAAAACCTCTATTAATTCACCTCTATACCTTAGGTCTTTCAAGGAGTCCTAAATTTGTTAAGCTCTCTCATCCTCATGTTCCTCATCCCTTCATCTTTCGACTTGTTTGTCCTTTTGAAAACCATTCCATTATAGAAGAATCTCTTTCTAAATTGGTCCTCTCAAAGTGCATCATTTCATACTTCTGCACATTGAGTAGCATCTGCTATATCTTGGTACACTGCTTGGAATCATAGAATAGATACCGCACAGGCCATTCAGCTCAGTGAGTTCTTGTCAGCTCACCGCAAGAGCAACATAGCACTTTTTTTATTCACTCTTGGGATGTGGGTGTTGCTGGCTGGGCCAGCATTTATTGCCCACTCCTATTTGCCCTTGAGAATGTGGTGGTGAGCGGCCTTCTTGAATCACTGCTGTCCATGTATTGTTGGTAGCCTCACAATGCCCTGAGGGAGGGAAATGCAGAATTTTGCCTCAGCGACACTGAAGGAACAGAGATACATTTCCAAGTCAGCATGGTGAGTGGCTTGGAGAGGACCTTGCAGGTGATGGTCTTCCCATGCATCTGCTACCCGTGCCGTTCTGCTTGGAAATGGCTGAGGGTTTGGAAAGTGCTGTCTAAGGATCTTTGGCAAATTTCTGCAGTGCATCTTGTAGATTGTACACACTGCTGTTACTAAGTGTCAGTGGTGGAGAGAGTGGATGTTTGTGGCTATGGTGCCAATACTTTGGGCTGCTTTGTCCTGGATGGTGTCAAGCTTCTTGAGTGTTGTTGGGGCAAGTGGGGAGTATTCCATCCCACTCCTGACCTCTGCCTTGTAGGTGATGGACATGCTTTAGGGAGTCAGGAGATGAGCTAGTCCCACTTTTCCTGGTTTCATTTTTAATGCTTGTCCAATTTTCCTTTGAAAGCCATAACTGACAAGCCTCCTCTGCACTGTCAGACAGTATATTCCAAATTCTAATCACTTGCTGTCTGAAATGTCACCTTTCATTCTTTTGCCATTCACCTTATATCAGTTGCCCTCCACCAGTGTGAGTAGTTTCTCTCTAATGTGTCTGGACCTCCCTTGATTTTGAGCGCCTCTATCAAATGTCCTTTCAATCTTCTTTTCTCTCAGAGTTACAACCCAAAATTCTATTAATCCATCTATGTAACTGAAAACCTTCGTCTCTGGAACCATTCTTGTGAATCTTTTCTGAACTCTCCATAAAATCGTTACGTCTTTCCTGAAGTCTGGTGTCCAGTACTCCAGGCAGATATAATACTAGAGTTGATCCAGTGTTTTATAAATGCACATCATATCTTCTCTTCTCTTGTACCACCATCTTAAAGCCTATAAATATCCTTGTCCCTGCCTGTGCCTTAGCCAAGTTTCATATCATTTGAAATCTTTATAATGCTGCTGCCTACACCTGGGTCTGCAGCATCTAAAAACTGGCTCAGTAGCAGCAATGTGTACCATCTACAAGATACACTGCAGATATTCACCCATGCTCCTTAGACAGCATGCTCAACACCTATAACTGCTAGCATCTAGAAGGACAAAGGCAGCAGCTATATAGGGACACCATCACCTGCAAATTTTCCTCCAAGTTACTCGCCATCCTGACATGGAAATATCCTTCATTGTCACTGGGTCAAAATCGTGGAACTTCCACCCTATCTGCATTATGGATCTATTTACAGCGCATGGATTGCAGCTGTTCAAGTAGGCAGTTCACCACCACCTTCTCAAGGGCGACTAGGCATAGGCCCAGCCATATCGCATGAACAAGTAGGAAACAGTAATGTTTTAAAACAGACTCTTGGGGAACACTGCTGCAATCCAGATTGCAGTCTGAGCAACATTCTGCTATTGAGCTAGTTATGATTCCATTCTGTCACTTACCCCTTAAATCAAAGGAGGCTCATCATTTCAGATAAATCTCCTAGATGCTATTTAAATTTACAATCCAAGATGTGGGCAGATGGTCTGAGTTGACCTGAAGGAGAGCTGCATTTAGATAGGATAAAAAAATGAGATACTTATGTGCCTGTTTTAATCAATGTTAAACATCCCAGTGTACTCTTTGAAAAATAGTGGCGAGTTCTCCTAGACCCTGATCTGCATTCCTCCCTTAGTCAACATGCTGTCATTCATATATGAGTAGCTCACCTTTTGCAAAACACATTTCCTTTTCCCAACACAACAGTCACTGCACTTAGAAGCATATTTTGTTTAACAAAGAGCCTTCTGCAAAGAAGATTTACTTACAA